TTGTTGTCATGCGGAAAACCCAGGCATCAAATTGGGCTGTCCGCAACAATGTCTCGTTGTCCCAAAAAATATCCCCAAATCTCCTATTTTCAATCACATAATAATATGATCAGAAAACACTCAAAAACAGTGGCGTACGCGTAGCCAGGATGTTTTAACAAGGGGGGCCAAAAACAGTAAACTGCGCAAAATAGTGGATGACTTAATATTTTACTGGCTCCTCCGCCTCCCTCTCCACACCCTACGGCTCCTCTACCTCTCAGCTCTGCAATCTTTGTTTTGGGCGCCATGCGAAAAGGCGACATTTGTGTTCATTGTTCTCTGCTCCCAAGATATGTAATTGTTCAGTGGCGGGTCTAGGATTCCAAGGAGGTGGGGGTGAAAAACAGGCGGGGGTATGGGGGTCCAGGTCCTCCCCCAGAAAATTTTGGAAACTTGCTGGTTTGCTGGTTCCAAATCGAGTTCACCTCTCATAAATCAGAAAACCTGACATATATACCAGTGTTGGAAATAGCAGCTGGTCCCATATTTTTATATTATTCACGATTTAATTCACGATTAAGATTTCTTGATGAGCTAGAAAACACTCGGATCTGAAGTATGAAACTGAACATTATTGTGCCAGCTAGCCTATACCAGTTGGTTGGGATTGATTGTCAGTTCAGATGCAAAATATTGAAAGCAAAAGGCAAAAGCACCATAGATTAATTGGGTACCACGCGTATATAAGATAGCCGAGTCGGTTTAGAGTTAGTGACTTAGTGTTAGTGTTAGGGATAGGGTTTCTTGGTTGTCCACCGGACAATGTCTCAGACTGGTTAGGTTGTCCGGCGCAAATTATGGTTGTCTCGGACAACCGGACAACGCTTATTTCGAGCACTGTTTTCTAAATAGCTTCATGGCAAGTTCATGTTTAATAGTTGCGATGTTTTTGCGATCAGATGTGAATGAAAGCTTTGTTTGTTTTTATTCATTCCTGATCGCATTGATAGTTTGATTATTTTTACTATCTCCACAGGGATCTGATATTGTGATGATACGAATACTAACACGATCATAAAATGTCAATTTGTTTATATAATAATAACCTTTATTTTAGTTTATACGATAGGGGGCCTATTATTATTTCAAGTTTATTATTATTTAATACTCTATTGTATTTATATCATTATAAGTTATTTTAGATTATATTACTATATATGTGTTTGTTTAGAGTTATATACATATATATGCCTATATTGTTAAACTCAAGTTTAGTTTATAATTATTAATATATATTTAGTTATTACTGTATTATTTTCATGTAGAGTTTAATACTTTGGTTTATCGTTTAGGTCAGCTTGGCATAATACTCTAGTGCTAACTAATGAATCATACCTCAAACCTGCTAACGATGCAACTATTTTGTTGGTAAAAAGGTGCTCAAACTTGCTTATACAGAGATTACTATATAAATAGGGCAGGGTTCGACACTAACCCACGTCCGAACGGGTAAATGCTTGGTCCGGTCGCATACAACCAGAGTGCTAGTGGCCCGACTGGTCGTGTTAGAATTGGTCATATAGTACTCGCACATAGTTACATGACATCATTTCACACCTTTCTGCCTTATAAGTCACATTTGTAATTACAAAATGCACAATTGTCACAATGTCAGTAGTGCAAGGCAAAACATCGAATCTTTATTACGGTGTTCGTGCTTAAAACAATACCTGTCAGTGTCAGGGCTAGTGGTTTTCCTGGGGGCCGTTTCACGAAGCGCTCGTTAAGTTAGTGATGGGTTAAAGAGGGGTTTTAGGATATCCTTATATATAGAGTGTTTCACGAAAGCCTCGCTAAGTTTCCCCGTTTCACAAACGTCTCGCTAACTCAACGACGTTGCTATTAAGGAGGAATATTAAGGACAGGTCAGGGGCAGTACTTAGGCTATCGTACATCAAGCAACGCGCGATTTCCCGCGTGTTTTTATTGTTTTGGCAAGCCGTAGTGTAAAGCGAAATCCCGCCGAGAAGGTAACTTCTGTGTCTACGAGAATACTGTGCAAGGCCTGTGAAGGCATGACACGCAGGGGTTAAGTGTGGCTAAGAAGCTTCTAATTGTGGTAGCAGATTTTTGAAG